TGAAAAAAAAACTGTATGCTTTCGATCAAATGAACACTTCCCGTTACATTCATATCATCTGCCGGTGGTTGTCGGCTTTTGTTAAATTAACCACGTTTGTGGGCTACAAAGGCCAATATATTACACATCGCCCTATAAGGCCTTTTTGTAAATTGGCTTATTATGCACATTGACTATATCAATACCGCCCGCAACGAGTTGTTGCTGACGGCAAATAAACCCAAGAAACAACGTTTAATAATAATAATAATAATAATAATAATAATAATAATAATAATATAGTTTATTAATGTGTCATGTGTACATAATACACCTGGCCATTACTGGCCTAAAAGACACCTAAAATTATGCAATCAATAAAATACATAAATAAAACATTATATAACTAATAATCAGTGTGCGAGCTTAGCCTCAATTTTGTAATTGATATCTTTTCCCGTAAAAACCAAGCCTCGTTCTCAAGTGCGACCTACAAACAGTAAATACAATTTGCTAGCAGATGACATATTCACTCTATAGTCTCTGTCAACTGGAGTTTTTAAACAGAGGTTTCTACTGAAACAACTTTTTTGTACTTTTATTAGCTTTCCATGTTACAAAATATATTCACTGGATATTAATGCTTTTCACCTGGATAATAAGGTTTATTCATTTCATGATGAGGATCATCTTTTTTTAAATTGTCCCAACTGTATGCATACCTGACAAGGACGACATTGGCTACCATTATGTTACGATGTCTTACATTTTTCTCAGGAGGAATGCCATTATTTTTTCTTTTGTTTCTATTTTTTCTGACTTGTTGGATGGCATAAATGCACATATATTTACAAGATGCAAAATTCTACTAGCGTTTAAACTTCTATATAATATTAATGCATACACAAGCCTTATTGGTATAAATGTACTCTTGATATTTTCCACTTGAAAATTCATTAGTTATAGAGGTGCCAGAATTCCAATATGTTCATACCTTTCTTGACAAATCTCCAGTGGTGTCACTTGGAAGTCGCATCATGATAAATAGTTAGTAAGAGACTGGTATTCCAAGTGAGTTCCAAGAAAATAACAGTTGAAACACACAATTTAGCCATGACCGAGCATAAAAATGCAATAGCCAAGGTATAATCCAAAAGTAATCATCCACCACAACAGTAAAAGAAGTATACTGCTACAGCAGACGATAGGTTTGAGCCAATCATTTTACTGATAGAGGTCACGTGACTAAAATCTTGACAACTTCCGGTGGTGTGAAGGGTTACTTTCCCTAATTAAAACTAAAAAACCAATACATATTTGAGATTTAAGTTCTGATTTATTTAAGTGCAAATGTCTGTTCAGTGTGATAACACTGACAAACTATGTCCAGACAGCTTAAGACAGAAAGAACCAAATGTCAAACACCACAACCTGTAAACCATCAGTTTAGACCCCTGACACACAAATTAGTCCCTCAATGACATATCAGTCAACTCAAATTTAAACAAACGGTGTTAAACTGCCCTAAAGTAACATATCTGTCACTAGAATGTGATGCTATCAGTAAGATGCCAGATTTATTTATGTTTCTGGCCGCTCTGTGTGGGACTTCTTGGTCACTTCGAGGGGGAAACTGGGGACTGTCTTTTATCCAATTAAAAACATGTTTACATTTGTAGCTCCTCCTGTTTTAAGTTGGATATAGTAAGCTTAGTGATCAGTGATTGCAGGAAACATAGGAATTGGCCCCTCCTCCCTTTAAGATAGATGGAACCCATATTTTTGTGAATGACTTCTACCCTGTGAGAGAATATTTTGAGGTCACGTGACTTCAATAAACATGTTCTCACAGCCTCTACAGAGCATGGATGGGTTATATTTAGGTATTATTTTGGTACATTGACATATGTGGAAATGGGAAATATATGAAAACATTACATGTACATATAGGATTTGTAATAAAAGGTTTATATGAGGTAGGTGTAGAGCCCAGGATTTTTCACTTCCTGTGACAGGGGCTGTGACGTCACTATGGGGCCTTTAGCATTGAATCTATTTATAACCTGTGTGAAAGCGAGGCTTGGTTTTCATCTATAAGCGGTAACATAGCCTGAGCTCGCACACTGAATATCTTCATATGTATACAGCAACCCACCCATCCCTCCCCACCCCCCACCACCCCTCCTCCCGCCCCACTCCACAGACACAGGGACATATACTCTCACGCAAGTTCAACCTAGTCACCAGTTCACACCCCAGCTACCCCTAATAATAACCAGCATTCCAAAGTTGCATTTCAAATCAACACCAGGTTCACGCTGCGCACGCATGGGGGAAATTCCCCCCTAATACCTGGTATAGTGTTGTTGCGTAATGTTCCTGAAGGCGTTTCCAGACACCTGCCTCTACCTGGCTCAACTGGGGCGGACTGGTCATGAAACCGGTGATATTATTTACAATAATGAACGTTCTAGGTAAGTGTGTTATCAAATTTGATATATTTTACCATATACTTTTATGAGTGAGTGAGTTAAAGTTTAACGTCACATCGGCAATATTTCAGCCATATCGTGACGAATATACTTTTATGTTTACTTATGAATGGGGGATTTTTAGACAGCCTTGACCTATTTTCTGACATGTCGTCGGTGAGGTGCTGTGAAATGGAGTGTAAGAGATCACCTCTCTCTCTCTCTCTCTCACTCTATCTGTCTGTCTCTCTCTCACATTCTCTCTCACGCACTCTCTCTCTCTGTGTCTCTCTCTCACTCTCTCTCACTCTCTCTCTCTGTCTGTCTCTCTCTCACTCTCTCTCATTCTGACAGATAGCTACTAAACTATTTTCATTGTGCAACACTAGAGGATTTTGTATTAAAGCGACCCTCACGTGCGTCAACAGTGACCCGTGAAACTGTTCAAGCGTCAACAAAGGACCCAGGGTATATTCTGTCATGTCTTAATTTAGACAACGGGAGCATGGCAGCCCACTTACTTTTCTAAATGATATTAAACAACTGATTTCCCCAGCGTGATTTCTTACGACACTAAGCCGTGCGTCCATGTACAATACAATACAAAATAGTGTATTATAGTCTTGCCATATGTAAAGTACATACCATTTAAAAACTGAAGAAAAGTACTATAATATAGTGTGTACAAATCCCACCCAGAGAAGGTTGTGAGTGAGACGGGACGCCTTAGACGACTGGGCCACCGGTCCCCACAAACGTATGAGAGGCATTTGTCTTTAACAGTATACAATATACAAAGTAATGCTGTTGTAAATATCAGAACACAAAGACATATCACAGCGCTCGAGTACGGACCTACATTCCTACACGCACGCACACAATCACACTAAAGGATTTTGAATAGAAGCGACCCTAACGTGCGTTATCACTGACCCGGGTGGATTTAAAATGTAATATTCATTAAACTGTTGAAGCGTCACCTAAAGTCTCAGAATATATTCTGTCATGTGTTTATTTAGGCAACGAGAGTATAACAACACTCCAACTGTGTCTAGATAATATAAGCAACTGATTTCTCAAGCGAGAAGTAGTTTCAGTGGTAATTGTCTGCAGGAATGTTTCTATGCATAAAGATTTAGGACCCGTGAAGATCCGGGGTAGAATAGATCTTCAGCAACCCACGCTTGCCGTAAAAGGCGACTATGCTTGTCGTAAAAGGCGACTAACGGGATCGGGTGGTCAGGCTCGCTGACTTGGTTGATGCATGTCATCCGTCCCAATTGCGTGGATCGATGCTCATGATGTCAATCACTGGATTGTCTGGTCCAGATTCGATTATTTACAGACCGCCGTCATATAGCTGGAATATTGCTGAGTGCGGCGGCGTTAAACAACAAACAAACAAACAAACAAACAAACAAACATAAAGATTTAGAGTCATACAAAAATCTCCACTGGACTGTATGAAAATAGGGACGACTTCAACTTTCTGAAAGTTAACTTTTCCTTTATGTCGAGCAGTATATCAGCAGTTCTTGCCTTTGGTGTGTACATTTCACAACATTTTGACGTACAATCGGGCATGTTCTTTCTACGAAGATTTCTAAGAGGGTCATACGACTCTTGTTCTAACGTTGTTTGATGCGGGTTACAACATTCAAGACCTAAGTAAAACTTTTAAAAAGTTTTATGGACGAAATGTCGAGGACATTGTCAAATTTGACGCATCAGTGACAAAAATTATGTTCGTTGCAACTCCCTATTTTGACCACATGTTCCCGTGCTTTTCCGGTTAAACAATTGACTTGCCTTTGCTTTTATTTGTGATGGGTGGGGCAGGATACGCTCACCTTTTAGCGAATTAGTGATTTTGTATCGTCACTGTTAGATAGTGATTCATAAATACCTGCTCATGATATATTCGGAATCGTACAATCGAGTCGTTTGGTACAGATTTGTTAGGAATACGGAAAGTCCCCCCCCCCTCTTTCTCCCCCCCCCCCCCCCCCCCCTCTCTCTCTCTCTCTTCCTCTTTCTCATACTCTCTCTTCTAACTGCTTGCACTAGTCTGGGCGAAAGCCGATTGTATGTACTTGACCACTTATATACCACGGCGCGGTTTAACATGTATCAGACACGGTATCCTGACTCCGAGCCGACCTGTGGTATGACGAGGTCGGTGGTCTTCAGATATGAGAAGGATATATTAATATATTCAGGGGGCGGTGGGGTAGCCTTATGGTTAAAGCAGTCGGTCGTCACGCGGAAGGCTCGGTTCGATTCCCACATGGGTACAATGTGTGAAACCTATTTCTCGTGTCCCCCGCCATGATATTGTTGGAATATCGCTAAAAGCGGCGTAAAACCATACTCACTCATCTTACGGTGCAGGCGTGTACATAAGCTGTTAACTATATGGTACAAATGATAAAGAGAACTGTCCAACTCCATCAAGTTCCAACGCTAATTCATCTGAATCACTCATTTCTTCTCTGTACCAACTCTTCAAATAATCTTCAGAAAGTTTTGGTACAAATGATAAAGAGAAGATAGTGTTCACCACTCTTTATTGGCTGAGTCCTTCGTAACATTAAATATGTTCTGAAGAGTAAAATAAATATACTCTTTAGTGATAATAAAGCAAATAAATCAATTAAAGTTCTTGAAAAGTATTCAAACATTCATAATGTTCACCCAAATCATCCCCAATAAAGGTTACATTTCATTTTGAAACAAGGATTTCTCCTTAAATTTAACTCCCTACAAAATTCACATTTACGGTAAATAAACATTTTCTTTGACTGATATTTACGCAACAAAGAATAGTTATACCATTTAGGTGATATAACAATACTTGAAAACATTACAAATACTTCCAGCATATATTTTGAGCACTCAAAGATGATTGAAAATCGAACAACACGCTCTTTGAAAAATGCAAAATGAATTATCAATAAAGTTGACGTATTTCCAAAACTTGCATTTACGACATGATAATATATTAAACAAAAAACAGTATTTCATACCTGAAGATTAGTGCTCAGCCGCTAACTCTCTGCAACACACAGAAATTCTCACACATTTGACCATCGCGGGTCACTCACGCTCATCGCTGGAGCTCGCAATACACAACAGGGAGTTATCATTATTTTGAAGCACAGTTCATATACCAAAACGGCTTGATCAAACCGGCAAACTAAAATATGTCTTTCTTGGCATAAATGAAATTAATTATGTTATTTCAGATTCAAATGTCACATCAACCAAATCCTCCGGGGGCAACCAAGTGCCATCTGAAAACAGTCTATGTGAAATATTCCAGGATCAGACAGCATTTCTGTACTGATCTGTTGTATTCACCGTTCTTGGTGCGAACTCTGACATTTCTGATTATACCATCCTTTCCTGGAAATAAATCAACGATTCTTGCCAAGTCCCATTTTCCTCTTGGTGCATTGTTGTCCATGAGCAGAACAATATCTCCTATCTGGAGTTGTCTCCCCTGTGTACGCCACTTGCTCCTACGCATGAGAGTTGGTAGATACTCTCGTAGAAACCTCTTCCAAATCTGTTTCACCAGCATCTGCACATATTCAAACCTTTTATGCAGGTTCTTTGTCTCCTGGAACGGTCCTTGTGGAACATTTATGGAAGCTCTCCCTAACAGGAAGTGGTTGGGTGTTAGGGCTTGTGGATCATTAGGATCCTGTGCTGTATAATACGATGGTCTTGCGTTCAGCAAACCTTTCACTTCTGCAAATGCAGTTGATAACTCATTCCAGCTGAGAATCTGTTGACCGATGATGACCTTAAGAGATCTTTTCACTTGTTTAATCAAACTTTCATAGATTCCACCTTGGTGTGGGCTCAAAGGCGTGATGAACTTCCAATTGATTCTGTGCAGCAATGCAAAGTCCATCATTTGTTGTTTGCCTTCTATGAATATGGTACGAAGTTCTCTCTCGGTTCCAACAAACGATGTGCCATTATCAGAAATAACTGTGTGTGGCCATCCATGATTTGATACAAAACGACGCAATGCTTGTAGAAATGCCTGAGTAGACAATCCATCCACTATCTCTAAGTGAACCGCTCTCACATTCGCGCACGTAAAGATTGCTCCCCATACCTTTTGGGTTTTGTTCCTACCATACTTGATTGACATTGGTCCGAAGAGATCAACTCCTGTTACATGGAATGGTGGTGAGAATGGAAGCAATCTTTCTGGAGGCAAGTCAGCCATCAGAGTGGTATGACCAGGCTGACGTAACTTCCTGCACACAACACAATTTCTCACAATACTCTTGGCTAGGTTCCGCCCACGCACAATCCAAAAATATCTCCTACTCTCGCACAATGTTCTCTCTGGACCAGCATGACCCATTTGAACATGAACATCACACATTATCAATCTGCATACGTGGTGACCTGGAGACAATAGTACTGGATGAATCTGATCATACTGCAGTGGAGAATGTCTGAGTCTACCTCCTACTCGAACAATACCCTTTTCCTCAAAGGGAGCTAGATCACAGAAGTCACTCTTCCAATCATTCATTCCACGTTGGACACACTTGATCCAATACAATTCAGCTGCTTTCATCTCTTCACAACTCACTGTTATAGCATTATCCCCTAGTTGTGAAACCTTATGTATCTTGTCCTTGAGTTTCCTGACAAACCTTAGGCAGTATGCTGTAACTCGCAGAAGTCGTTGCCATGATGAAAACTTATCTGCTTCTATGACAGGGTTGATTGGTGCACAAGCAGCAATAGCTGGACACTTCCTTTTCTCCTCACTGGATTCAGTAGTTGCTGCATCACATGGCTGGGTTGGCCACTCATTAGCTGGTAACTTCAAGAATTCTGGCCCATTCATCCAGCTACCATTCAATTCCTCCACAGAAATTCCTCTGCTAAGATCATCTGCAGGATTCCAATATGTTGGCACATATCTCCAGTGTGTCTGATTCCACTGAGATTGTATCTCGGCTATGCGGACACCAACAAAGGCTTTGAATGTTATTGATTCTGCTCTGATCCAATGAAGCACAATTTGTGAGTCTGTCCACAATATCACATCTGACAGCTTCTGTCTGATTTCTCTTTTGATTGTTGTGGCCAACCTTGAAGCAATCAATGCCGCCATAAGCTCCAATCTCGGTATTGTTGTCTGATGCAATGGCGCAACTCTAGCCTTTGCCATAATCAACTGTGTTGAAGTCTCATTTTCTGTTGCACATGTGAGATATGCTGCAGCTCCATAGGCTTTCATGCTTGCGTCTGCAAAGACGTGTAGAGTTGTTGTGTTCACGGAATCAGGAGGTTTCAAACAGCGTGGAAACTGAACATCTCTCAACCTTTGCAGTTCCAGAAACAGATTCGACCACTGAACATACATTTCTTTGGGTAACTCATCATCCAAAACCAACGATTTCTGACGCCAGATATCCTGCATAGCTACTCTGGCTTTGATAGTGATTGCTAAAGCTAGTCCAAGTGGGTCGTACAACATTGACATTCTGGATAAAACTTGTCTCTTAGTGTATTTCTCTGCAACCAGATTCTTGACTGCAAAACTCAGATTATCAGTATCCGGATTCCATCGAATACCCAAGGTCTTGATTTCTTCACCATCAAGACTGACAGACGAAGACGCTTGTGGTTGATTTTCTCTACTCTGTTCACGAACCAACTGCGAAGAACAAAACCACTTTTTGATCTGAAACTGTCCAGTGGCTAACACAGCATTAACCTCATTGATTTTCTTCGTAGCCTTTCCTGGGGTTTCACACGAATGAATCAGATCGTCCATATACCTGTCGTCTCTCAAAATTGCTGATGCCTCAGGATATCTGTCCTCATTCTCTTCAGCAATTCGAAGCATTACATAACTTGCCATGTCTGGAGAGGACTTATCACCGAAAGCCACTCTGAGCAATCTGTACACTGACGGCTCTCTATCCACCTCTAAGTCTCTCCATAGGAATCTGTGTAAATGAGTGTCACTCTCTCTCAACCTGATCTGAAGATACATCTTGGAGATGTCTCCAACTATAGCAACTCTGTCCTCTCGAAACCTCAGAAGAACACTCAGCAAGTTCCCAATGAGACCTGGACCCTTATACAGATATGAGTTGAGCGATACACCATCACACACACATGCCGGATCAAACACAACTGTCAATGGGGTACTGGGCTTGTCCGGTCTATAAACTCCATGGTGTGGAAGATAATAAACTGGGAAACCACTAGTTTTCACATTGGGTTCATCAATCTTTTCTGCCCATTCTTTCTGCTCATACTCATTCACAGCATCACAATACATTTTAGCCTTTTGGTCATTCTTCAGGAGATTCTTCTCAAGAGACACAAGTCTTCTATAGGCTACATTATAGTTGTTTTGGAAGTAAGGCAGGGTTCTTCTTCCATGGAAGACCAATCTCGTATCTGTCCTGAACCTTGCGACACGATTCTTTCATCAGTTTGAGTGCTACTCGATCCTCAATTGAGAGTACTTCAACAGAACATTTACAATTTGGAGCTTGTACCCCCAATGTTTCAAACTGGTAGAATTTGTCAAGATTAAGTTTCTCCACAAAGTTCACTGAGCATATCACTGAACGTTGAGTTTTGTCTGGACCCATCACATACCATCCGAGCTTGCTCTTCTTTCCGATCGGATCAAATGGAAGACCTTGACGAACCTCTTCTTCAGCATGCAAGTGAGAATACTGAACTCCCAAGATGAGATCAATAGGTCCCGCCTTGTGCGACAATTCGATGTTGTTAAGATGTGAGAATGATCTCAACCAGTTTCTATCCAAAGGCTTAACATTCAAAACAGTCTTATCAATCTCATAAGCTTCTACTTCAAATGCCTCACTGCTTTCAAGTGAAGAAATCCAAAATTTCAATCTGCGACTGTTAATGTTCTCAAGTTTCTCACATCCTACAAGTGATAGATCAAGTCTCTCCTTGTTACCCTGGAGACCAAGTGATTTTGCAAATTCTTTGCGAATGATTGTGGTTCCTGCACCTCCATCTATGAGGACATTACCTTCCCTGGTCCTACCATTTAAGGATTTAAACATCACCCTGACCACTGGTAGAATACTATTTGTATCAATGATAGAACTGGCCACCTGTGGGTCAAAATGCAACATCTTGTTGTGTGTACGTGAACATCCGTTGATACCACAGGCCTTCTTGGTCTTACAGTCTCTCGTAATATGGCCTCTGACAAGACAGCCAAAACACAGACGTAGGTCTCGAACCTTCTGAGTCCTCTCTGGAACAGTACAATCTGTGAATGTTGGGCAATCTGAGATTCTATGTTCTTCAGAACAAAGATAACATATGGGCCCCCTCTTCATCTGCTGATGAGAATATAACCCCTTTATCCTTCTGGAATCACTTCTTCTTTCCAAATCCCCAAAGTCTGGGTCGAACTCTGCTTTTACCCGTTTTCTGATAAAATCACTGATATGGCGAATTGACGGCCGTTCACCTCTTTCTCTGATATCAGATGCCTTCACTTTCCATCTATCAATAAGGTACCCTGGCATACGCATTACTATCTGCCGCAAATTATCATTTGCGTTTATATCTGCAAAGGAACCCATCCGTGTTAAAGTTGCTATGCAATTAATCAGATCTAAGGAGAAATCTCGCAGCGCCTCTCGTCCCTGTATTCTGTTCCCCTTAGTCAGCTTGTTCACATATGCTCTTGCAATATAACTTTCCTGGCCGAACTGTTCCTTTAACATTTTTAAGGCAGTAGCGTACATGGTACCACTAGATCCAAGTCCTGCAATGGCCCTCTCAGCCTCACCAGTCAGATGCATCTTTAATTGTACCAGTCTCATGGCATCTGTTAAATGGGCTTTATCATGGATATGAATTTTGAATCTTTCCATGAAATTCACATAATCCAAAGGATCCCCTGAATATTTAGGAAGAGTGATATTAGGTATGTCCCTACTGGCTTCAATCTTGATCAATGCCTCCGCTAAACTCATGTTCGGGGTGTTGCTTAGACAGTGTTTAGTCTCCTGATACTCCTTCAGTGAAGTTATCCACCCATCAAATCCTTCACTTGATCCAGCAAGAGATGTATTGTCATCCTGAGATGCATTATCTTTATAAGATGCACTGTCATCATCTTCAGCAGCTTGAAATGATGTTGAAGGACCACTTTGAACCTTGACAGATTTACCCTTTCCCTTTGACACAGTCTCTGTTTCATGTTCTGTGATGTCAAGTGATGCTAGATAATCCTCTGCTAATTCTTCTATTCCATAGATATCATTGGTTAGATCCGACTCCCATTTATCTAAACCTGCAACTTTTGCCTCTTCTGTATTTTCATACAGTTCTCCATGTAATTCACATGCCTTTGTATAATCAGCTCTGAGTTCTTCTAACTCCTTTAAAATTCTTCTTTTTTTCACCATTTTAGTTTGCATGTTGTCTTTAAGTCTATTTAAAGTTCTGGTAATTTTCCCTTTAATCACCTTTCTCTTTGCTTTCACAATCTGCATTCTCTCTTTTACATTGGTAACACCTGCACCTTCAGCCTCTTGTGAACTTCCATTCCACAACTGTCCAACTCCATCAAGTTCCAACGCTAATTCATCTGAATCACTCATTTCTTCTCTGTACCAACTCTTCAAATAATCTTCAGAAAGTTTTGGTACAAATGATAAAGAGAAGATAGTGTTCACCACTCTTTATTGGCTGAGTCCTTCGTAACATTAAATATGTTCTGAAGAGTAAAATAAATATACTCTTTAGTGATAATAAAGCAAATAAATCAATTAAAGTTCTTGAAAAGTATTCAAACATTCATAATGTTCACCCAAATCATCCCCAATAAAGGTTACATTTCATTTTGAAACAAGGATTTCTCCTTAAATTTAACTCCCTACAAAATTCACATTTACGGTAAATAAACATTTTCTTTGACTGATATTTACGCAACAAAGAATAGTTATACCATTTAGGTGATATAACAATACTTGAAAACATTACAAATACTTCCAGCATATATTTTGAGCACTCAAAGATGATTGAAAATCGAACAACACGCTCTTTGAAAAATGCAAAATGAATTATCAATAAAGTTGACGTATTTCCAAAACTTGCATTTACGACATGATAATATATTAAACAAAAAAACAGTATTTCATACCTGAAGATTAGTGCTCAGCCGCTAACTCTCTGCAACACACAGAAATTCTCACACATTTGACCATCGCGGGTCACTCACGCTCATCGCTGGAGCTCGCAATACACAACAGGGAGTTATCATTATTTTGAAGCACAGTACATATACCAAAACGGCTTGATCAAACCGGCAAACTAAAATATGTCTTTCTTGGCATAAATGAAATTAATTATGTTATTTCAGATTCAAATGTCATATCAACCACTATATTTTATCACTAGCTGACCGTTTTACACAAATAATGATAATTTACATTGTTAAGTTTCCACATTTGATGAGAACAATGCCCTGGACACAAAAAGATTAATAAGGCTATGGTAAATACTTAGCTCTCGAGTCAGTGTGCTAAATTAAATCTGCAAAACTCTTTCCATAATCAATGTGTGAAGCCGATTTCTGGAGTCCCCCGCCGTGATATTGCTTGAATATTGCTAAAAGCGGCGTAAAACCATACTCACTCACTCACTCACTTTCCATAATCAAAATAGAAACGACAAAACATCAGTTCCATAATCATAAAAAAACATATCCAATGAAAACATAGTCCATAGTACGATTCCGACTGTGTCATAAGCATGCGTTTATGAATCACTATTAAATAGTTATGAGAGCTGGTCAGCGTTTCCTGTCCGCCAGGTGGCACCCGTCATATGCACAAAGTCAAGTCAATTGTCCACCTAAAAACACGGTAAAATATGCTACAAGTCAAAATAGGGACATCGTTTTTGTCACCAATGCGTCCAATTTGGAAATGTCCTGCCAATGTGTATTTATCACCAAAACTGTCTCCCACAGGAGATATCGCTTGCGTGAGATCAAGCGATTTATTTACTTGCCCGTGAAGAGATCACCCGTTTAATAAACATACAGCTGTATTACACATTGTGTAATACCAAAACGCGTGCTTATGTACCCTCGGAACATGTTTCACGAACAAATATTGAAAGCTCTCAACATCCCTTGGCGTATTCAACGACATTGCGTGTGGAGTTGATAGATCACTGAGAGGAGCTTATGCACACTTGATGACCCCAGCAACCTTGTTGCTAGGCTGACGTCACATGGCATTGTTTCGCCGAAGGATCTTGCAACAAAATTCCACAAATTACGTCATCGGGTATTGTGATGTGATTATAAACTTTGAGGTGCAAGGCCACGTTCCACAAGGCGATCGTAATACTGTAGCGCAACGACAGCCGTTGGTCGAAGTTAAAGTATGTGAGTTGCGATAACCTTAACGCTACGATAATTTTGTGGAACGGACGCCTGAATTCTAAAGGTGGGCCGTTGTATGATATTAAATTCATACGTTTCAACTTTTGACGTGTTTGAAGTATTATTGTGTTAAACTCAATCGGATTATGCCGTGGATCGTGTAGGTGTCAGCCTATTCACACTCAACAGTATAATTCTAAAAACATTATAAATGGCAAGTAATAAATAAAATACTAAACTCGCTCCCGTGTAAAACCAATTTTATGAAACTCGTGAATAGTTGTGGTATCTGACTCGCTTTCGCTCGTCAGATACCAGAACTATTCACTCGTTTCATAAAATTGGTATTACACGGGAGCTCGTTTAGTATTCCTTATATCTACACTGTAGATATCGCTGCAATGAAATTGCATCACAATGCTTTGCAGACCATTGTGACGTCATTGTTACCATGACGTCACAATCAAATGACACCAATGGCTCTGCTACTAGTACTGAAGCTGTAAGCAGTACTTTTTACACTGAAGACACTGCTTATTACTGTCTTCAAACTGAAAAAGTCGGAAGAATGATGTTGAGAGATAAATAAAATCTCACCCTCGTGTCTTTTGATGTCAAATATATCGACACTCATTGATAAAAGTGGAAAAAATCCTCGCCGAGCCTCGGAGTTTTCCCACTTTAATCAACTCGTGTTCATAAATATTTGATATCAAAAGACACTCGGGTGAGATTCTCTATATAATGTTTACTGAGGTCTTGAATGTCGTAACTGAAGCCTTTTATGTCGTATGGCGCTCTTTGAAATCTTCCTAGAAAGATCAAACTCGATTGTAACTCAAAAAGTTATGAAATGCAGATGCCAAAGGCTGGAGCTGCTGAAATATTGCTCGACAGAAAGCTGACTGTTGGAAGTTGTCATCCCTGTTTCTTGCCTCTCTGAATCTTTATGCATGGACCTAAATATGACATCGCTGAATTGTATTTATCTTCCAATCCGTTTTAGTTAAGTACATGTTCTAGCCGATCTTCTAATTGTATTACTTCCTTCATTCGGTATCAAATCTGTTAATCCTAGTCTAAATTTTAGGGGTCCCAGTCGTCTAAGGGCCGCGATTCGCTGTGCAGAGTTGCGTCCCTTGGTTTCTTGGGCACGCCAGAAACCTATGATTGTGGGTTCGAATCCCGGTTCGCCCCTATTATGTTTCTAGGTTTGTTAGCACCATACCCGTGCTCGTGGGTTTCACCGAAGTGGTAAATGTCTGAGACCTGCATCACCTCGGGCTTTCCTCCCACATTAAGCTGAGGAATACTGTTAAAAGTCGCGTTAAAAACCCAACTCACTCACTCACCTAAATTTTATCTAAAACTTTTATCTAAATATCTTTGTTATATTTTCAGTCACAGCAGAAAAATTCACAGCCGAACAACATTCAAGTATTACTCTGAGTTGTCCAATCAACCATCCAAATAGCATGATCAACGTCATTCACCCAAGCGACTTAAACGCCCTGCATTGCGCTTCCTACAACAGTTGTTTCCACGACCACGCCAGCAACTACGTCTTTGAAGGGCACCTCAGCAACATTAGCATTTTAGTGTTTAGCATACTGTCGGTGCAGCTAGCGGACGACGGCAACTGGACATGTAGGAACGGTATTGATGACGATGAGAAAGTGTTTCAACTCTCTGTGAGCGTAAGGACTACAACGTTACACACGGATACAACGCAGACCACAACTAACTCTGGTCAACAGAACTTGCAGCCAATGTTATTGCAAACTATTATTTTATGTACCTCTCTGATTAACCATGGACGCAGATGACGACAATGCATGGAATGTACAATCGGTGTGTACATATACAAATAGATAATACTCATATACACAAAGAAATATATCACTTGACACGCGGAGTGTATATTGGGAGCACAAAGACGTCAAACATTCTCTTGAATGAACATGCAGTAGAAGAGCGTTAATAGAGTCACCCTGTCTTCCGGACGATTTATGCTGGGACACTTACTCTGTATGCAAAGGATATCACTTTGATGCTATGGAACCCCACTAATCTTCTTTGCTGCACAGTGGTGTTTGTTTTATATCCCCTTTCAGCAACAGCTGTGGCGAGACTGTCCTTTATCTGATAGAACCGGGGGTCAGGAGACATAGACTTACACAGGCTTTTTTCCAAAGTATTGATAACTTTTTTGTGTCTCATTATAGTACTTATTCACATATATTATACTTATTCACATGTTACATTATTTGTCTAGTGCATACTAGGTAGTATATAACACCCTGTTCATATAATATTCTTGTTTCGAAAGTAAATACCGTGAGAGGAGTTTGACCAAGAAAGTCTATACTGTGGGGGTTTATAGTTAAATTGAACTCTTTTAAAAATATTCTCCAAACAGTTAAGAGCTCCTGAATTAGGTTTCCTTTAATTTCCCGACCACCAACCCCTCGCGCCACCTATATTAAGGTACATATGTAGTTGTCTGTACTGTTTCAGCATGCATGTTCCAGTGTTTTTTTATTAAATTCATTTATGCGTTTTTATCCTATTTCTCCACTCTGGGTCATCCTAAATAAGAACACCCCCCCCCCCCCCCCATGGTGATGATTTCCCCCGATAATGTGCAGTCTGGATCAATTAGAATTGAACTAAAGGGTTTGGCAATGACACTATGGTCATATAATTTCGTCTACCGTAAACAAACAATTTAATCGACTTAGAATTGATTAAGTACGCAACTAACTCTTCTGACAAACACTAAATGTATTTTGATATTAAAAACATGGACACGTGCCATGGGGGGCACGGTTGGCCCAGTCGTCTAAGGCGCCGCGATTTGGTGTGCAGAGTCGCGTCCCTTGGGCACGCCAGGTCTGAAACCTGCATCACTTCGGGCTTTCCTCCCACATTAAGCTGACACGCCGTGTTATAACTGGAATATTGTTAAAAGCGGCGTTAAACCCAACTCACTCACTCACTCACTTTATACAGATTCCATATGGTTAATGTGAAATAATTGAAAGATTTCAAGCAGGAGCAATCTCCCAGATGGAGGACGTTGACGAATTATCCATACAGTTATTAAATTATATTTCACACACACACAAACACCCCAGTTCATAAAACATACTCGCACACGTTCAGATATTATACAATACATGCATACATAACTACTTGAAAACCATTGTTCTGACTGACATACATTGGCGAACTTCCGACCCTACATCAATGGGAAGTAATATAATATTGATGCGGTGTATCTACGTCAGAGAAATGAGTTGTCAATATATATATTCCGGTCATTTAAGTGTTGTTCCCAATATATGTACAATTTAATACATGTGATAGAAACGACATGCCTCATTAGTTTAAATATAGAGAATCTCACCCGAGTCTCTCTTGATATCAAATATATCAACACGAGTTGATAAAAGTGGAAAAATTCCGAGGCTTGCCGAGGATTTTTGCCACTTTTATCAACGAGTGTTGATATATTTGATGTCAAAAGACACAAGGGTGAGATTTTATTTATCATCCAACATCATTCTTCAAACTTTTTCAATTTGTAGAGAGTAATTAGCAGTGTCTTTAGTGTAAAAAGTACTGCTAACAGCTTCAGTAGCAGAGCCATTAGTGATGTCATTTGATTGTGACGTCATGGTAACCAGTGATATCTACTGTTGGAGCCAGTTTTGGATGATAAAATGTAATATTAACTTGGAAATGATATTCGTTGAAATATACATATATTATCGACGAGTGCTGTGCGCATTTCAGCAAGTAGATACTGTGATACTCCGGATGTTGTCGAAGGTAAATATTTAAAACATCAACGTTTATTTTATGTTTTAGCCATTTTGAGTTTATATGCTGCTTACATTTTTCAATATTTACTGTATGTAATTCATATTTGGACTTCAAATAAATAACCTAATGAACCCGTGTGTATATTTTCACTTAATTTGTATGTATGCAATATCAGATTTGCCAGTAGGAATGTGTACAGGTTCTCTAAGCGTTTGAGCAGGTGCCCAAATAACATGATTCTTTGTATGATGGCGGTCTGTAAATAATCGAGTCTGGACCAGACAATCCAATTGGGATACGATGACATGCATAAACCAAGTCAGCGAGCCTGACCACCCGATCCCGTTAGTCGCCTCTTACGACAAGCGTAGTCGTCTTTTGAAGCAAGCATGGGTTGGGCAAGCAGGGAGCACGGGTGGCCCAGTCGTCAAAGGCGCCGCGATTCGGTGTGCAGATCTAGAGTTGCGTCCCTTGGGCACGCCAGAAACCTATGATTGTGAGCTTGAATCCCAGTTCGCCCCGATTATGATTTTAGGTTTATCTGCACCATACCCGTTAAACCCAACTCACTCACTCACTCACTCATTATTACATGCAAGGCCACAGTAAAGGTTTCCAAAGGTGTTATGGTATACATGTGAAGTGCATTTCCATATTTGACGCATCGGTGACAGAAATAATGTCCGATGCAATTCCCTGTTTTGATTTGTTTTAAATGTTCCCGTGGTGTTTTTTATCAGGCAAATATTTGACTTTCCTTTGCATGTGTTTGTGACCCCATTTCGTTAATACCTTATAATATCACTATTTGATAGTGATTCATAAACACATGCTCATGATATAGTCGGAATCGTACAATGGACTCTGCTTTAAGAAGAGTTTGTTATGATTAAGGAAAGGTTTTTGTAGCTTTTGTTGATTTGTATGGATGTGCTATATACGTGTGTGCGCTTTTAGAATGAGAGCTTGTGCGTGTGAGTGAGAGAAATGGACAGACAGACTTATGTTCCGGGTAGATACTGGTCCAGCAACCTATGTTTTGTCGTAATAGATCGGAGACTAGGTTAAATGCGTACCCCCACGGCTTGTGACGTTGTTCCTAAAAATAAACATTTAGAGAACTGTGTCACTGGCCTCGACAAATGGTGACTCATGATTGTGTTTGAGTGAGAGAGCACCCCAGGCAGCATTACACAACTGGGCCAACAGTGGGCCAACGCCGCACTAAACATTGCGCCAATGCCGTTTGCCGGCAATGGGCCAATGCGGTTTATCAACGATGGTCCAATGTTGGCAAGTTTAAAATTAACTTTCCTTTCCTTTCATTTCAAACTGTGGTCACTAGTTCACAGTCATGCATGCGACCGTAAAGAATTTACGATGATTTCAAAGAAACTCATTAGCAGTGTCACCTCAGATTTTCAAAGTGAATTACAAATTTGATCATGCTGGTGTGAATGAATGCATATTTAAGAGAAGATGACAATTGAATTTATTACATATTTTGCTATATAGGAATTATCAACAATTATTTATCATTGGCTTTAAATGTAGATTGTCAGTTTTTTTGTATTTTGTTTGATAAAACCAAAATCTGAAGCAAAGATCAAAGAAGGTCAGTAAAAACAAAAGCTATGAACAAAAGAAATTATTGGTCAGTCTACCACAAAACTGTGTACAATGCAAATCCAATTCAGCAAGTCCTGCATAGTCAGAAAATGTAACAAACAACCAGGTGATCCATCTCCTTGTTTATTTACATGTAAATAGCTACTATTTGAATAAATATGCCTCACAGTTAATTAATAATGTAAAAGTTTTCCTGGTCTGGTTCTGCAAGCAACTCTCCACTAGGAGTAGCTGGTGCTTTCTTCTGTAAGGACTTTAGGATCCGCTCTTTTCTGCCCCCGTCCCTGCCAGGGGCACAGGGAAACCACAATTTTATCTTCTAAAAATTATCTCCTATTTCATTGTTGGTATTTTGGGCCAGTGGGTTCTTTCGTGTGGCTTCTGCAACATAATTGACAAGATACAAGCTAACAATATCGTGTTAATTACTTCACACAAAGATTTCCATGCATAGTAATGCTGGTTAATGTACAAGAATTGCCACGTTATACACTGAAAGGCTTATAATAAATGTAACATTGTTTGAAGTTGTTTTCAAGACAGTTTCATGTATTAGCCATTATCAAGAAATATATTGAGGCGAATTAAGATTGAAGCTGTACTTACTAATGATAGCATCCTTTAGTGGCATATCCGTGAAGGCCCTCTTTCCGGATATCCATTTCCTATTTATTTTTTTTGCTGTTTTTTTATGGCCGACGGTAGGACGCGTCTCATCGTGTCTGCAGCGGTCATAACCCCGATGAGTGAGTGAGTGAGTGAGTTGGGTTTAACGCCGCTTTTGACAGTATTCCAGTCATATCACGGCGTGTCAACTTAATGTGGGAGGAAAGCCCGAAGTGATGCAGGTTTCAGACGTTTACCACTTCGGTGAAACCCACGAGCACGGGTATGGTGCTGACAAACCTAGAAACATAATCGGGGCGAACCGGGATTCGAACCCACAATCATAGGTTTCTGGCGTGCCCAGGGGACGCAACTCTGCACAGCGAATCGCGCCGCCTTAGACGACTGGGCCACCCGTGCTCCCTACCCCCGATGACACCAAGTTGTGAGACCTATATGTAAACATGCATGGTATAGTTACAATTACATATTCGGATTATGGAGACAGCTTTCATAGTATTTATAGATAAAATAACATAACACGAACGAACATTTATGTTTGAATGAAATGTTGTTGCGAATTACGAATGAAGTTAAATTGATATCGGTTATCGGTAATATGTTTGTTTTCATGAAAATATTTCGCAGTATAGCCTAGCTATTTTGAGTTCAAAGCATATATTTAGGGATAGAAATATGAAACTATGACATGGGAAACTATTACATTTAAACTGCATTCACAGATATTTACATGAACAACAGTAGATCAATATACAGACCACACTGTTTTTACTATGGCGCCAGTATGTCAGATTTCATGAAATTAATTATCTCATTAATAACTCTTTCTCCGTTCAGATCATTAACGAGATTATACATATTTTACGCCAAAGTGGTTATCTGTTTGGAGGAATCTGTAGATTGATGAAAATCATACTTACTGTTGTTGGAATGGGCAAATTCAGAGACAAAGATACCAACAGGAAGAATGACCACTTGTAGAATGGAATGAAACCGTTAAGCCTGATCCGCGGTAAAGTGATACACAAACAGTTCCTTATTATAATTATGTAATTTCTCTAATTAATTACCAGAGGCATAAATTCCTTTTTTCAGTACTCATGACCAAACAATTTATATGTATATATTTTTTTCATCCCATTAAAGATGGTATTTCATATCAACTTTGAGTGATCAGGGCAGATGTACTGATAAGAGCGTGGCACTGTATGGGGCCACTGTCGCCTGGCGAGGGTGTGAGTGGAACCAGATACATATGTTTTGTTGTAATAGATCGGAGACTAGCATGTAGAAGAAGAAGAAGAAGAAGAAGAAGAAGAAGAAGATTTTATTAACGTCTCACTTGTATACACACATTTTTGTTAAAACAAATTAAAAATATAGTTACATTAAAGTTGTATACAACCAATCGCACAGCGATTTATGAGAGACGGTACATTGTAAACAGGCACATAGTAGAAATAAGCAAGAGCTATATATTAAAATATACATACATTAATATACAAAACAATGTTTAAGACTCAATGATATAAAATATTCCTCCGGGTATATAAAATGTCATGGCAGGTTCTGGCACAGTAAAAGGTGAGGTCATCAGATGATAGAATCCTAATATATTTATCTTGCTCTGTCAAAGAAGTAAAATCTATCCATAAACTATTGCACTTGTTGATGAGGCTAAAACGTATATCGTCGTAGAGGGGACAGAATAAAAGGACATGCTTCTCATCTTCTATGACATTTTTGCAGTTAAGACACAGCCGCATCTCTCTGGGTATGTTCTCGTATCTGCCCCACAGCCGCATCTCTCTGGGTATGTCCTCGTTTCTGCCGGTTCAATCCGCAGAGGGGCTACGCCCAGTCTAAACTTTGCTAGTGCACTTCTGTGTTTCGTGGGATTGGTCGACTGACATAGCTTTCTTGTCCATATTCACTCTTAAATTGTTTGTACGACCGTAACTTGCTGCTTCAATTATGTGCTGCTTCACTCCGGATTGTTTCCTCCCATGACTGTTTGTATCTGTTAAAGACTGTATCATGTACAGTTTTAATAAAGAGACCCTTTTCCAGATTGCCGTCGTACAGAATGAGTGAGTGAGTATGGTTTTACGCCGCTTTTAGCAATATTCCAGCAATATCACGGCGGGGGTCACCAGAAATGGGCTTCACACATTGTACCCATGTCGGGAATCGAGCCCGGGTCTTCGGCGTGACGAGCGAACGCTTTAACCACTAGGCTACCCGACCGCCCCCGTACAGAATGAAATGACCCAAGCTGAAGTTCTGTAAAAAGTTCCTCACACGATGATTCCAGTTTTTCATTGATGTCTCATTTGCCCATCGGAATATTCTCTTGTTGATTCTCCTTGTACTTGTGTTAGTCATTCATGTAGGTTAAATGCGTACCTGTTTACCCCCACGGCTTCAGAGATCTAGCCACTGGCCTCGACACATGGTGACTCATGATTGTTTTTGAGTTTTTGAGTTATCTCAGGAGATAATTACACTCAGAGTCAATAGCTAGGATGCCAAAACATGCTGTGCAGTTGCTGTTATTCATTCGTGCATTCATAATTATCCTACTACCATTCTGATAAACGTCCCGTAGAATAACGTTTTAACTAGGCGGATTGTGTGTGGGGCGGCTTTGTTGCTCGTCGGCCGGAACAAACTGTTCATGTGTTGGCGTTATTTACATGCCGAGGCGTCACGGAATCCCACAGTATAAGTAGCTTTATATAGATACCACGTCAGTTGAAGTTGTCACTACACTGCGAGGGGCATAAGATGGCTGGCCTGTACTTGGTTGTGCTTTTGGTTGCGTTCAAGGGTAAGTTGATCTTTTGAGTGCTGCATGTAGATCGTGTATGGATGGAACTATAATATATCGGAACACTCTTACAACCTATGTGAAGTTTATTCCTCATACACTGTGATATTGTGTTTTCGCGCTGCTTTGAACATTCATAAATTCATGCTTATGATGCTTATGATGTAGTTTTTATATGATCAGATATAGGAGGCGGGGATGGGGGTCGGGGTGGGATGGGAAATGGGGTGAAAATTACTGGTTAAAGCGTTCGCTCGTCACGCCGAAGTCCCGAGTTCGATAATCGACAAGGGTACAATGTGTGAAGCCCATTTCCGCCGTGATTGTGCTAAAAGCCGCGAATAACCTCACTCACTCACTCACTCACTCACTCACTCACTCACTCACCCCACCCCACCCCACCCCACCCCACCCCACCCCACCCCACCCCACCCCACCCCACCCCACCCCACTCACTCACTCACTCACTCACTCACTCACTCACTCACTCACTCACTCACTCACTCACTCACTCACCCCACCCCACCCCACCCCACCCCCACTCACTCACTCACTCACTCACTCACTCACTCACTCACCTCACCTCACCTCACCTCACCTCACCTCACCCCACCCCACCCCACCACCCCACCCCACCCCACCCCACCCCACCCCACCCCACCCCACCCCCACTCACTCACTCACTCACTCACTCACTCACTCACTCACTCACTCACCTCACCTCACCTCACCTCACCTCACCTCACCCCACCCCACCCCACCTCACTCACTCACTCACTCACTCACTCACTCACCTCACCTCACCTCACCTCACCTCACCTCACCTCACCTCACCCCACCCCACCCCACCCCACCCCACCTCACTCACTCACTCACTCACTCACTCACTCACTCACTGTGTGTGTTTGTGGTGCTGCTTGTACTTGTCCGGACTGATGCTGATTTATCGTGCTAGCTCACTGAGATACCATGCCGCAGTGTTAACATTAATACCCCACTCAGACACAGTATACGGACCCCGAGGATAACAGGACAACAACAAATACCATCTTTTAACATCTTTTGGTATGACGCGGCCGGGATCGAAACCCGGACCTTCCGCTCTCCGGGTGGACGCTTTACCACCAGACCACTGGGGCGGTGAGGATCGCCAGGGAACATCATCATAAAACATATTTGTTTTCAGAATAGGTGCATGATATATTCTATTATCATTTCAGATGCGACCGCATATCCTGAACTCTACGTTGATGATACTGCTGTCCTTGGACAACGAACGTCTTTACGCTGCATCTGTGATGGGGCAATGACTTTAAAAGAGCCCAAAGGCACGACCGTCCTGCACTGTAAATCATCGACCAGCGGTTGCCTAAATAATAATGAAGACCATATCTTTTTAGATAGAAATAAAAGTGAAGGAGAAACGTATGTAGCAGTCATAAAAGAAACTCGGGCGCAAGATGAAGGAGAATGGAGATGTCAGTGTGGAGACAAAGAGGCTACGGCCACGCTACGTGTACAGCGTAAGGGATCCACGGGTCCCCAGGCTCCTTCGGAATCGAAAAGTATGTGGGTTTATCCGACTTAAGATTATGCGAATCTGACTTGAAGTCACTCTGTCATGAGCCTAGATGTGATATTTAATTTCTTTAACGTTTAATTTGCTTCTATATCAAACATGCAACATGTAGATGAAAAGAATCGCCAATTTGTTGCGAAAATTGAATAGAAAAATACAACTTGTAAAACAGGTATTCGACTTATAAACGGTCAAATGTGGAGTTCACTTGAGATACGTATTCGAATGTTGGTAAAAAATAATAATGATCAGTTCATGTTTGTTTATCCACTTCAGATGCAACCGCATATCCTGCACTCTTCGTTGGTGATACTGCTGTCCTTGGACAACGAACGTCTTTACGCTGCATCTGTGATGGGGCAATGACTTTAAAAGAGCCCAAAGGCACGACCGTCCTGCACTGTAAATCATCGACTAGCGGTTGCCTAAATAATAATGAAGACCATATCTTTTTAGATAGAAATAAAAGTGAAGGAGAAACGTATGTAGCAGTCATAAAAGAAACTCGGGCGCAAGATGAAGGAGAATGGAGATGTCAGTGTGGAGACAAAGAGGCTACGGCCACGCTACGTTTACATGGATCCCCGCATCCTTTTACTGATTCAAATTCGAGCTTTTGCATTTATCCATGTTTCAAATTACTCATGTTCTTACTTTTATTAGTATATCTGACCTGAATTCCACCAGACTTGAAACATACCGACTACACATTCCACCATCTTCCCAAGGCAAGGGAATTTAACTGACTATAAAAGTCCAGTTTCCACCCTTGCCGAACTAGAATGGTATTATGGAGTTCCATTTTGGCTGGAGAGTCTGGAGAGTCAATGAACAATTGTGCAACGAATTCGAAATCCGGGTCGTAAACTGTCATGCAGATGTCGGTCGATAGCAGGATTTCCCAAACATTTGCAGCCCCAACTCGTTGTCAACAGATATTTTCTAAATCTTTTCATGCTTTTAATCAAGGAGTTCACGTAATTTGATGCACTTCGCGATGTAAGACGCGTTTTATCACTATACTTCAGTCGTGATTATCGACAAGACTTGGCGCCGCCATTTTGATTGAAGCAAATGCAAGTAATACGAGAGGTGGAATCTGATTGGCCCAAAGTAGAGGCATAGAAGGGACATTGCTCGTAATACCCACTGGTGGTGCAACGATCGAGCCCAGAAACTGCGAAAAGAGCCATGAGCGAGAATATTTTACTTTGCTCAAAACTCATATTTGTTTGTTTTGCAAATGTATAAAGGTGTTTCTACAAGTAATAATCATATTGAGAAGGCTTTTCCTGTTCCTGTTCTGAACAAATAATATAACATACCAAATGCTAATGCAAACGCGAATGCCTCTGCCTCGAATAAATCGTGTCTTGTAATATTATTAATGTCTTCAGTGTTGTGTTTAAACTTGCATCCTCATAAGCTTTTGTTTGGTCCTGCACACAGGTACAAAAGTGCGCGCACACACACGCACACACGCACAAGCACACCAACGCGTGTGTGTTAAATATGTTTTCAAGGCAATTTAAAAGAACAGACGTGTCCCTTAGGTATGCCAGAAACCTGTTGATTCCTTGTTTCTAGGTTTGTCAGCACCATATCCTTGCACGTGTTTTGTACCGAAATAGTAAACGGCTTATACCTGCATCCCCTCACATCAGACTGACATGCCCTGGTACAGTTGATATACTGTTCAAAGCAAAATTAAACCAATTTCACTCACGCATACTGAAATTCGAATGATCTTATTACACTATTTTGACAGGGAACTGCTGCGCCCGATCACTTGTCAACAATATGTTAAAATGGCGAATCTCACGTTATGAGGTGAGGTGTAATGGGGTTTAACGTTGCGTCCAAGTTTATTGCACTTATAAAGCGACGTGCATGCACGTGTCTGTGTGTGTGGCTGCCTGTACTAGTCCGGACTGATACCGATTTGCAAGCCCACTGATATACCATGTCGTATTTAACACGAATACCCCACAACAGACTCCGAGGAGACCAAGTCCTTGTCCCTTAATGCCGAGCGCCAGACAGGGTTACCACAAGTACCATCTTTTAACGTTTTTTTAGTACGACGCGGCCGGGGATCGAATCCCGGACCTTCCGCTCTACGGGTGGACGCGCTAGGAGGTCCAAATGAGATGCTGTGAAAGTAAGTATGTGGGAACAGGGAGATGGCCAAGTAAACGTTCAAATGCTCTGGACATAAAAGTATACGAATATTCTGACAAGTGTGTAGTCTGTGAAATCACATAAAAGAATTATTAGTAATTTCTGGGTAAGATAGATTCTCTACATGTCCCCACTTACTGTATAGGACATATCAATAACAGCCACAAACCAATCTCCATAATTCAACTCAACACAAAACTTTTGCTTGGGTAATTGATCAACAGTTGTCACTCCCAGTTTTTAAGTTCTCATTCCGTATTTGATAGCACGTGTGTGTGGCTGCTTGTTCTAGTCCTGACTAATGCCGATGTTTTTTGTGCTAGCCCACTGAGATACCATGTCGCAGTTTAACTTGAATACTCCACTTAGATACAGTACACTGACTCCGAGCCGACCACCCCTAAACAGGGTAACATCAAGTACCATCCATTAACGTCTTTTGGTATGACGTGGCCGGGGATCGTACTCTCGACCTTCCGCGGAAGCTCTACCACTAGACCACGAGGGGGGTCTGTTTCTTTCGAGAGTTGACAAGGCGTGGATAACTGTGTCAACTGCAGATGAACTGTCAATCAATAGGTATATTTAAGAATTGACTTTACTGTTTATTGCGTTTATGGAGGTGTAAACGTGAAAACCGACGTGGATACTGTACGCACAGCAGGTGCCACGGTCGCACGTTTATAACGCCATAAATGATAAAACATATTGCAGTCAGTTCTTATACATAATTGTTCAGAGCAACAAAGCAACACAAGGCCCGCCCAGTCCAATATGAACCAATCAAGAAACATTAATAACATAAATTGTAGTAGACAATTCTTGGAAAATATAATTCTCCTTCAGAATGTCAACGAAAGAAAAGGGTGCCAGGTATAATAAACATATTGATACAAAATTTATTTAGACTCGTACTTTTAATTAAAAACATATTAAGTTTTGCAACTGTAGCTGTAGCAATGTTTCAGGGGTTTTACATTTTAAGTTAATAAATCACAGCTCTAATGGTCATTGTTGTATTCTGTAGAAAATAACTTTTGTGATGTATTGATGTTGGTGTTCCTCTACAAGTTGTTTTGCTATGCAAAAATAATGTTTATGCATTGGTTCTACACATAGATTTGTTTGCCTTCTTTCTTAAAATGTCAAGATTTTCCCAATTTGGTTTTTGGAGTGGGGTGGGGTGGAGGGATACCTCAGGGGTGATAATCGGGCAATGAACTTTATAACTGCTAAAAAGAGGACTCAAACACGTACATCGCGGGTAAATGTACATACATAGATCCTATTTCAGACGAAATAATTGTAAGATAGTAATATTAAAAACTATTCGAATACATTTTGTACCTACCTTGTCTCTGAACGTGAATCCTTGCCTTAGCTTGGTAGTATATCACAGTCGTCAGGCTTTAAATATGATAACTATTCAGCAGATATTTTTCTTCTATCATACACATCACCAGAATGATGGCTGAATGACTGTATGTCTCATCATATGTCGGACATATCCTTATTCAAACCCACCAAGACAGAACAAAATCCATATTGAACTTCCTTATTTATTTTCAAATATATTTATAAATCTCCCTTCAATGACAGTCATCGCTATTCATATACAGCCCTTTCAAAGTATTTATATATACATTGTGCATGTCTTTTGTACACAAATACTTTGTTGAACTCAATAATCAACAAGGATCAGGTCTTGCTTACTTTCAGCCGGTGTAAGGAACATGTCAGCAGTATTAATATATATCTGCGTTACTTGCCCGCCACCTGTCTGCCAGCTCACCCACACGTGTGACACGTAATCCTATCATAATCGATGTAACTATCATCAACCATTGTTTTTAAGCCAACTCATTGCTGAGTATTTTTTAATATTGGCTATATTTGTGCACAGCCACCAGTGGCCAAAGTGATGACGTAAATCCTGCTGGGGTTTCTAGCAGGAAGCAGAGGTACTGTAAGTCCCCATGATCCCCAGCGAGGTGGCCTAGCTTTGGTTACTGGTGGCCTATAGCCCGTGTTTTAAAAAATATATACGTCATTGTTAATAATCGAGTCTGGACCAGACAATCCAGTGACTGACATCATGAGCATCGATCCACGCAATGATATGCATCAACCAAGTCAGCGAGCCTGACCACCCGATCCCGTTAGTCGCCTCCTACGACAAGCATAGTCTCCTTTTACCGCAAGCATTGGTTACTGAAGACCTATTCTACCCCGGATCTTCACGGGTCTAGCTCTACACTGAAAACAGAGGATGCTTATCTCCTGAATGTACCTAGGAGACTGGTGATATAATGCACCCCAAATTTAACTACTTACTTATTACAGTACTAATTAAATCATGAAATGCGCAAAGTGAGCGGTAATATTTGAAGTAGTACGAGACACATTATTCTTGTATATTTCAGCGCTGAGTGTGATATTTTTGGAATGTTTTCCATTTAACTCATGATCACAACCCCGAAATATAACATTTTAACGTTATTGATGCTTGTACGTATATATACGTCCTACTGACACACAGGCAAACGATATTGGATATATACTCCACGTTCTGATAATCCATTTATTCGTCATCCATTTTTACAAATATAATTCCGATTAATGAGATGCAGCAACGGACAAGTGGAGAAATTGGCATCATATGATGTTTGATTTAAACCTCCGCGTTCTGTGGAACCCATGCTTGCCGTAAAAGGCGACTATGCTTGTCGTAAAAGGCGACTAACGGGATCGGGTGGTCAGGCTCGCTGACTTGGTTGATGCATGTCATCAATCCCAATTGCGTGGATCGATGCTCATGATGTCAATCACTGGATTGTGTGGTCCAGACTCGATTATTTACAGACCGCCGTCATATAGCTGGAATATTGCTGAGTGCGGCGTAAAACAACAAACCAACCAACCAACCAACCGAGTTCTGTGGGATGGTCTGACTACAAGAATCTGCTGTAAAATCTCTCCTCTGCTGATACGGAATGTGAGCCGAAGAAATGCATCCTCTCAGGAGTGGGGCGTGTCAGCTTGTGGGAGGAAAGTCCGAAGTGATGAAGGTTTTAGATGTTTACCGATCTGGTGAAATCCACGAGCACGGGGGTGGTGCTCAGCTGACAAACCTAGACACAATATCAGGGCGAACCCACCTCACAGTTTCTGTCACGCCCAAGGGACGCAACTCTGCGCGGCCCCTTAGACACACCCACTCACACACATACATACAGACATACAGACAGACAGACACATGTACACACAAAATGCACACGCACTCACACAAACATTCACATATGCCCACACACATACACAAACACATCGAGTGACGGGAGGAAGGAGGTATTTTCACGAGTGGCGAGTCACATGGAATAATCTATTTATTATATATTTTTTGTGAAGTTGAAACGTAAATTCTCCCTACCTTACATGCGGGGAAGTTTTACCACCCCTTGTAATTGCGACTTAAAAAGTAGTTTCGAGTTAACGAAATCTTAAATTTTTTTTAACAAAATTCGCCAAAAATATTAAGGGTAACGAAAATACGTGAATAGTTGTGGAATCTGACTCGCTTTCATAAAAAATTGTATTGATCGCCTTTTTAAAGGGGACCAACACTACAAAGTTTACAATCACGTCATAATACCCTAGTTGTTGCAAGTAATGCCATGTGACGCCAGCCGAGCAAAGGATCGCTCGGGTCATGGGGTAAGCTCCTCTCAGTGATCTGTCCTCCAAACACACAATGTCTTGAATAAGGCAAGGGATGTTGGGAGATTTCAATATTTGCTTTGGAAAATTGTTCATGCAGGACATAAACATGAGCTTTGGTATTACACAATGTGTAATACAGATGCATGTTTATTAAACGGGTGATCTCTTCACGGGCTCGTAATAGCGAATAGTTATGCATGATAGTTAAAACACGAGGACGCTTGCGTCTACACTTTACTAAACTATACGTTCGCGATTATGTTTCCAATGGAAAAGCCGTATATCGTGTAAATTTCCCAATAAAAGAGTATATTCGATTAAAAAAGTGATCTTTAATTATTCATTTTTTTTGGTCGGAGTACAAGGTTTAAATTTATAGGATTTGGATATTATGAGCAGAGGAATGTGCTATATTGTTTATATTGGCCAGTATTTAACACTTTAGGACAGAATGAAATTCCCAACTCCGTATCGACTCTCGCCTCATAGTTCTCACTTAGCTCTCCTTATTCACTTCTCACTTCAAATGTATCCAGGTGGGATTTATTTAAGGGACTTTTTCACATCATAGCTCATATTTTTTTGTTTTAATGAAACATCATATTGCTTTTCTATATTTAACGAGTGGGATATCTCGCTTCTGAAAAACGGGTATTTTGCTTACATAAATGTCAATATGATTTGGGGTTTTCACATTTACGTGTATTTTTCGAGGGTAAGTTAATAAAGTGTGTCAATGTTTGTAGTACAATTGAAAGAAAATCTCTTCTAATTTTTTCTGTTTGATAGATTTGGTATGGAGGTTGAGCGCATCCCTTAACTGAAATAACAGCTATCTATCAGTGAAAACATTGTCCGTTATGTCACACTTTCAGGGTGAAAAGCGCTTGAAATTCATTTTAACTTCTATATGTTTAATGTTCTTTAACAACTCATTTCACAAGTACCATCTTAATGTGTTTTTTACTAGTTTGCGGAATAATACATGCGACTCGAAATGTAATTTTATCATCATGTCAGTTCAGTGTTATAGGAACATACATGTATATTGAGCGAAAGTAAACAGACCGTCAAATCGTATGCTCATCAACCTTAACATTATTGGTTGAGTGAGTAAGTTAGGTTTAACGCCGCTTTTAACAGTATTCCAGTTATATCACGGCTCGTCAGCTTAATGTGGGAGGACAGCCCGAAGTGATGCAGGTCTCAGACGTTTACCACTTCGGGGAAACCCACGGATATGGTGCTGACAAACCCAGAAACATAATCGGGGCGAACAGGGATTCGAACCCACAATGATAGGTTTCTGGCGTGCCCAAGGGACGCAGCTCTGCACAGCGAATCGCGGCGCCTTAGACGACTGGGCCACCCGTGCCCCCTAACAGCATTGAGAATACACGAATTTGACCGACTGACATTGCGACTTGGCACTATAACTGTGTCAATGTGATAAACATAACGCTGACTTCCTGTTTATTCTGACGCTCACCGTTAGCTCGAGATTTCTTTTGAGTATGGAGATGGTTTTGTCACTTGTATTAGGAAAACGCACAGACTACGTCGGTATGTAAGCTTAAAGTCATTGTCGCATTTTTACCATATTAAATGGTCGTTTGTGTAGGTGACATAGGCACCCATTCCTTTTTGTTATGGAAGGGACACACGCGTTCGTGTCATATTCAAAATCTAAATCTAGTCTATTCATAAAAAAATGCCAGACAATTCATATCACAAATTGGCTGACAATTTCTGTGTGTTATTTAACAGATTGAGTCTATTAGTAGTAAGATACAGTGACAATTGAGGATTTGATACGGATTTGATTCGATTTGATCACCACGTGTGTCACTTGAGTCACTTTATTTAGCATTTAGCTTTGTCCACTGGACCAAATATAGATCTAGAATGCTTAAGACGTATCTGTAATCCAGTAGAATCAGTTAATCGTGAAGATCCGGGGTAGAATAGGTCTTCAGCAGCCCATGCTTGCCGTAAAAGGAGACTATGCTTGTCGTGAGAGGCGACTAACATGGTCGGGTGGTCATGCGCACTGACTTGGTTGATGCATGTCATCGATCCCAATTGCGTGGATCGATGCTCACGATATCAATCAATGGATTGTCTTAATTACTTATAAACGGTATATCTGCATTATCGGTATATCTGCATTTGTACACAGCAGACGTAACTGCAAGTTAACATATCGCTTTTAGTTTAATCACAATCAGTATATGCACTGCCCGTGAAAATTCCGGTTTAGAATTGGCAACCCATGCTAGTTGTAAGGGATGACTTTTGGGATCGGTAGATCAGGCTCGTTGACTTGGTTGATCCATGTCATCGGATCCCAATTGCGTGGATCAATGCACATGATGTCAATCACTGGATTGTGTGGTCCAGACTCGATTATTTACAGACCGCATCAGATAGCTGGAATATTGCTGGAGTGCGGCGTTAAACAAAAAAACAAAAACAAACAAACAATGACTTTCCCATGCAATCTGTGTTGTGTAAATTGACTTGGATATTCAGTAAAATTGCAACATATGTACTCTCAAACCATTTATGTATTATCGTCTCCTAAATTAAAAGCCGAACAATACCTAAAGGCCGGGCTCCGAATAAACGCGGGGTAAGTTTTAGACATCGAATTCTCCCCATCATTGTCTGTGCGATTAAAGTCCGGAGATAAGGAATATTTGAAAGAATTATACGTCCATCGTTTAATCGAGGAAATACGGTAACATGTCTCAGAGTGCTTTTGCTCTGCGTTGTCGCAATGTTGCCAGACGGTTCTAAAAGAATCAAGCTACCACACCTAACTAAAGATACCCTACCTGACTAGGAATTGTTTGCTTGTTCATTTAAAATCGTTTGTCAGAATATTTGCAATTGCATAATGCAAGTTAATTGTCTTACCGTAGTATTTCCACTCGGAAAACAGCGTTGTCGGTCGCTATGATTTAGGGAAAGGTAACCAAATGCTAGCGGATTTTTTTAAATAACAGATACCCGGCCTCATTTAAAATCCTGAACTAAACGAATAAAAATAAAATACTTCGATACATTTTCAAATACTTTTTTGCTTTATCTTGTGTCACATACTATTTGTGTCAAATACTATTTGTGTCACATACTATTTGTGTCACATACTATTTGCACATATAAAACCCCACTGACATTTCATCTTATCATCTCATTTTTGGATGTTTATACAAAGTATTAAAAGTACTTATTGGTTGTGACAAATATCAGAAGGCAGACATGAATATCATGACGTGGTTATCACTACCATAATTTCTTTTGTCATAGCAACTGATTTGGGACAACCATTGTCTCCACAACTTTATTGTCATTATTTATAAGACGCTAATTAATCCCCGTTGTTAATCCTCATCAACTCTTCATTGTACATTGACTGTCAGACAACCTGGGCTATCACATCACTTCCCGTTAATTACTGTTATTTATAGTATAGCATTAATTAACTTCTTTCAGTGGCATTTAGAAGTTAGTGTGATGAAGTAAGACAAGTTCTATGGATGAACAACTTCTTTATTACAATTAGTGCGACGTTTCGGTGTAGATAAAGGTGTTAGGATCTACACCGAAACGTCGCACTAATTGTAATAAAGAAGTTGTTCATCCATAGAACTTGTCTTACTTCATGACATTAATTGCCTAAATTGATTTTTCCCCGAACTGTGTCGGTTCATCACGCCCATATGTCGAATGTCCAGAGCAACGTCATTGTCTCTTTGTCTGTCCATTGTTGTTCGATTCTATGTATGAGTTATCATTACACTGTTTGTCATTTTTGGGTATTCCGAGTGGTGGTGGAGGGACGACCTGGAGCAGGATGTGCCGCTCGTAGGAAAAGTCCTGAGGATGAGCTGGAGCTCCGCTGTCCTCATGTATGCCTGAGCTGGAAGGTACGCTCATAGCTGTGTTTGTGTTGTCAGAGCAGGTATTCCGCTCATTGTGCAATTGTTGTGTATTGTTTACATGTTGTGCATAAAAACGTTCTGGGACAGTGATGTCGATTTTGTCCTTGATTCCCCAAAGAGCCAATTCTCGTCAGTATGTGCGATCTACAGTTTTAGCCACCTGACCTGACCGCGAGATTCACTCACTGATCACATGATTCTGTGATGCAGATGATTTGCATAAACAAGCAGACATCAACACCTGACCAAAAGCGTCATTGACGTCAGTTATCATGATCAGCTGTACTTCCTTGAAATATAAATCATAAACGTCAGAGACTAATTAGTATCGCTTATCTGCCGAAACGTAATATTAATTTAGTATGATTCAAAATAACTGTAGAGGTTAAATGAATGGATGACTGAAAAGCAGTGATGACACCAGGTGTTCACAAAGAGTGTAATCATGTGCTACTCTTCTAGTAGCATCCGACACTCGAACAATTGCATAAATAAGTAAGAGGTTGTTTGTGCCTGAAGCCGCACATACGCACACCAAAAGCACAGATCTGCACAATAAAGCAAAATGTTTAAGAAATATGTTCATTTTGCTGTCCCAAACATTTCCTTTCGTAGTTAGCTCAGCATAATTCATAAATACTACAGAACTTATAATGAAACTCACTGACTGGAGTCCACGAACAGAAACCAGATCAATCAATTATAAAACGTCAAAGCCAGAAGAAAACCAGTCTCAAATATCCGCCGAAACAGATTCTATTAGGCACACAATGGGAGTTATATTTCCTAAGATCATAATTTAATATATTTTCTATATCCTTCATGTACGTGGAAAGCTCATACTGAAAGAAATCATAAAATACAGTGAAATGAAGACAAATCATTTTACAACATTTTATTGATATATGCATGATCAATATAAAAATGATATAACCTACGGAAAGAAAAGCAGAAAGTATTTCACTTCTAGAAAAATAAATTATATATTCTTCGAACAATATTACCATCATCATCTTGCGATACTAAAAACCCTCAGGGCCAACTGTCTTCAGGAAACATTACATATAGAATAATCAGCTATTGTCAACTCTATACAAGAAAATAGAATACAACATCCGACTGTCAAGCTAAGAGGACTAGATCAGTCAATCATTCTCCATTATTATTCTCCTCTTCCTACTCTCAGCTCTACAAGTAAAGGATAACATTCGTCATCTCTAAGTCAAATAGATACCGACTACATCATCCGGATGTCAAATGTGCACAGAATAAAGATAATCGTCAGACAATCGTCAACTGTTAAAATACAACTTCAGACTATTCTTTGTGTTAGCTCTGGAAAGGGTCAGTTATTGGAATCTGTTCCTTGGTACAATCTTCTTGTATGTTTTTCGACCTTTTGGTTCTTTTTTCCCAGTCGGGCCAAGTCTCTTCATCATTTCATTCTGATTAACTTCCATCTTGGCAAGTCGTGCATCTGTTATTTTTTTCTCAGCCTCCATTTCATGGAACTTCTTATCACTCTTTTCTTTATTGCTGCGAATTTGTTCTTGGAGCCTGCATACTGTCCCTTGAAGTTTTTTTTTTTTAGTCTTCAGACTAGAAACTTTAGTCCCCAGGGCCTGAATATGCCGTCGAGCTTCTGCTAGTAGCTTCTCTTTCTGCTCCAGTTCTTGGCATAGACTGTTGATAGTATCTGTGGCCTCTCTGTTAGCTTGAGTAAGTTCTTCAATCTTCTGGAGTGTAATATTGACGTTCTTGAGCTCGTCTTCAACATCATGTTTCAATACTACAAGATCCTCCCTTTGAGCTCCGCTCTTTTCAACCTGACCAATTCTTTCCTGGTCAAGTCTCTTCACCATGTCTAGCATTTGCTTCTGGTTAACTTCCATCTTACCAAGTCGTTCATCTGTTATTTCTTTCTCAGCCTCCATTTCATGGAACTTCTTATCACTCGATTCTTCATTGCTGCGAATTTGTTCTTGCAGCCTGCATACTGTCCGCTGAAGTTGTTCATTTTTAGTCTCCAGACTAGAAACTTTAGTCCTCAAGGCCTGAATATGCCGTCGAGCTTCTGCTAGTAGCTCCTCTTTCTTCTCCAGTTCTTGGCGTAGACTATTGATAGTATCTGTGGCCCCTCTGTTAGCTTGAGTAAGTTCTTCAATCTTCTGGAGTGTAATATTGACGTTCTTGAGCTCGTCTTCGACATCATGTCTCAATACTACAAGATCCTCCCTTTGAGCTCCACTCTTTTCAACCTGACCAAGTCTTTGCTTCAGCATTTGTACTTCCACATCTAGATCTTTCGCCTTTTCCTCGTCCTTTATGAAACCCTTTACATCATGTTCAGAAATGTGTGACTGTGTCCCTTTGAGAAGAGCTACAAGTTCTTTGTACCCCGTTACTTCCAGCGATTCAAGAAACCCTTGAAATGCCAAAGGCCCTCTTAACATAATAATTTTCAGTAGCATTTTTGCTCTTTCTAGTCTGCTGGGACCCGTGTCAATGGATCCCATATCATGCACATCTATGATTTGATTTGCAAACAAAGGTTGAGGGTTAATTTTAATGTCGCAGACCAAAGATTTCATTGTTAGTTGACTCAAATGTCTACGCTAGGGACTATAACCAGTCTCTACTATCCGCCGAAAAAGATTCCAATTGGGGTAAAAGGCAAAATAGCGGCGTAAATGATATCAATGGGTCACTGAAAATCAGCCATGACACATAGCCTTTCCCGAAAAGAGTAATCATGACCTGCTCTACCGGTAGCACCCTCATTTCTTAGACAGGTAGGGCTGGTAATGCAGTGGAGAACATTCGTTCTAAATGACGTACAAACACATAACTACGCACGCAAGCAAGCAAGCACGCACGCCTCTAAAATATATGCTTAAAGATCATTGGAACGTACCCGCAGCAGATGTCTATAAATCTTGCTTTCGGTGTGATTTGACTACGTCTGCTGCGTATGTCGTCTGTGTATTTTTATGACTTACATTATCTCGATTTTACCAGGTAGTTGTGTGTACGTCAGACCCCCTCTGTCTTCTCTTATATCACTTTACCTTCTCCTGTATCCGGTGACCTGTGTGTTTCTCCGTTGTGCTCATCAGTGAGGGTATGCTTTTGCTGGTGGTGTTTGCTTACGTTGTTAACTAAATTTATTACAGCCTTTGAAATAGTCGTTTTACAACTACAGTTCCAATCTTATCAAATATATTTTCAGGGACATTCAGAGGCACTGGTTTTGAGATGAGGTAATAAGTGATTTAACACGAAGTTATATTGCGACGTGTGTTGGTCATGGTGGTGGTGAGATATATGTGTGCATTTCAGAAAGGGAGAGAGTGAGTGAGTGAGTTTAGTTTTACATCGATTTTAGCAATACCCCAGCAATATCACGGCTTCGAACACCAGAAATGGGCTTCACACATTGTACCCATGTCGAGAATCGAACCCGGGTCTTCGGCGTGACGAGCAAATGCTTTAACCACAAGGCTACCCGACCGTCGAAAGGGCAAGAGGTGTCCGAGTACCACTTAGAAGAAATTCATTAATATTTGAGGCCATGTAACTACACTACCTAATCGAACCATTTGTTTCATCTTGTAATATATTTCCACTACAGTCGTGACTGAGACGATTTCTTACTATTAACGACTTGAATGTTGACTAAAAGGCCACAAAAGTACAGCATATACAAGATTTATCACATATGGCATGACAATGACATTGTGGTCAAGACCGTGGACTGTCTCCGTGGTGCAGTAGATAAAACGTCTTCCTTGAGAACTGAAGGTTGTTGAGAGGGCCGCGTCAAGCACAAAAAAAGTTGAAAGATGTTACAAGCTTTTTCCATGCCTAGAGTTCAGCATTAAAGGGGTCAAACAAGGACTGTTCGACTCGAAAGCATATCGCATCTGACTGGGGTATTCATGTTAAAGTGTGGCATGGTATCTCACTGGACTAGAACTGTGTCTGAGTGGGGTATTCATTTTAAACTATTGCGCAGACACAACTCGGCATGAGACCGAGTTTGTACAAACAGTTGCGCACGCGTCGCTATATAATAGCAATAACCTTGAACGCGACGGTAAACCCCATTTCACCCAACTACACCATTTTCAGCGACAGTGAAATATTTAAATTTGCCAATTAATCTTGTCAGCATTAAGAATACGTCGAATCACATCTATTAAATGACAGTGTATCTTGGCACTATAACAGTGTCAATGGTATAACATAACAAATGGAAATTTTATTTGATTTTTTTGTTTGTTGTTTAACGCCGCACTCAGCAATATCCCAGCTATATGACGGCGGTCTCTAGATAATCGAGGCTGGACCAGACAATTAAGCGATTGACATCATGAGCGTCGATCTATGCAACTAGGATACGATGACATGCATCAACAAATTCAGCGAATCTGACCACCCGACCCTGTTAGTCGCCTCTTACAACAAGCATAGTCGTTGTTTATGGCAGGCATGGATTGCTGAAAACCTATTCTATCCCGGATCTTCACGGGTCACGGCGCCTAAGACGACCGGGTAACAACATTAAGTCCCAATGTCATTGAGTGGATCCAGTTCGTGTATTCTCGGCGCCTTAGGCGACTGGGTAACAGTATTGAGAATACACGAACTGGACTAAATGACATTGCGACTTGGCACTATAACTGTATCAGTGTGTCGCAATGTCATTTAGTGGATCCAGTTCGTGTATTCTCGGCGCCTTAGACGACTGGCCATGGGTAACAGTATTGAGAGTACACGAACTAGACTAACTAACATTGCGACTTGGCACGATAACTGTATCAGTGTGTCACAATGTCATTTAGTGGATCCTGTTCGTGTATTAGACTTCCTGCTTGTTCGGACTCTTACCGTTAGCTCGACATGTCTTATGAGTATTGAAAGGTTTTTGTCACTTGTATTTGGAAAACGAACAGACTGTGTCAGTATGCAAGCTTATAGTCATTGTCGGATTGTTTCCATATTAAAAGGTCATTTGTGTAGGTGACCTAGGAGCCCATTCCTTTTTCTTTGGGAAGGGACATACCCATTCATGCCATAGTCAAAATCTAAATTTAGTCTATTTGTAAAAATGCCTGAAAATTTAAATCACAAATTGGCTGACAGTTTATGTGATATATTTGACAGATTGGCTTAGTCTAATGGTATTAAGATACAGTGATAAATGAAGATTTGATACTGATTTGGTACATTTGTTACTGTCTTGTGTGAACTCATCATCACGGTTTTAACTTGAGACACTTTATTCAGCATTTAACTTTGTCCACTGGAGCAAATATGCAGTACATTATCTGTAATTTGTAATTATTTGTAAACCAGTAGAACCAATCGCAACAATTACACGCCGGGGTCACGATTCCACACCTGGCTCTGATTTTACAAATGGGAATTTATGCTACAATCATACCTGAAAACACAGTGTTGTGTTTTGTGGACATAGATTTTATTCAACAGTTGAAATGTCCTTAAGAAGTTTGAAATGGTGTCAGTCCCACAGGCTCCCGCAAAATTTCATTTAATAATCAGGTTAAAAAGAAATAATGATATCTTGAAAGAACATTGACTTTGAAGTCTGCAGTGTCTCTTGGATCCTTTTGTTGTTGTTTTTCTTGATCCTGTTTCCATTTTTCTCTTAGAGAGATACTGATTCTCCACCTATGTTGAGGGTAAGAAAATGGGTCATTGTTAAGTTGTTGTCTCTGCTTGATTATTGTTATTTTGGAAACAATGGTCAGTTGAACCCTCTGATAAATGTTAGCTATTAATATAATATTGTTATATTAGTTGTTTTGGGGTTTTATTTGCCACATTTGAGCCAACACTAACGTTATCATCTATCAAGGCCATCCGAGTGTAAAGGCGGAATATTTTGCCCAAGTTCCTAACACCAGTTACCAAAATATCCTGCCAATTTACTAATTTTAGAATAGGGTTTTGGGGTTCACGACACTGAGCTCATGGGTCCCATAGCAACAGCTCTTAGTCAATAGCCTGGGGCTATGGGGTCACATGACAGGAGCCAGTGCCACCGTGGGACCCCTAGCCTTTTTAACAGTCTCTTTTTGCCTGCACTGCCTGGACACCAACATCGCCAGCTAGATCTGTTAATTTTGTTTTAGGTAAGAGCACCAGTTTCTCTGTATGGCAACTATAGGTCTATTGTATCCAATTATGGTATGGTCCAGTGCATAGTTATAACACTTAGAGGACTAAGAATCATCTGCTGCATTTAATTTCATTAAGTCAAGCAAAATTCAAAACAAGTGTTTGGCCATTGTCCAAGTCATTCTTGCTGTGCCAACCTGGCAAACGTCGCTCATCTGTAACTGTCCAAAGGGGCACTCAATGGCAATAATGAATGACATTTATTTGTAACAATATTTTCTGGTTTGAAAATAGCTTTAGTAAGATACCTTTTGTGTTTGGAAGCAATTTTGATCGGCCAGTCAAAATTGAAACTAGCTCATTGCTAAATTCAAAGTTCCATTTATTCCAAATTCTTTCGTCTGATAAATGCACTTGCTGCTGACAACAACAGAACTCTGTTGCAAGTTTATTTTAAATTAACAAGTGGCTATCACTGGTCATCGTTTTCCCAAGCCATGCGCTCAGTTAAAACACCCTGGTGCCATCTGGAAGTAATTAGTGGCTGACCCCTCACTGACAACTCTTGACCTGTGCGCTTGGCAGCACACATTATCTTCGGCTATCCTCGGCACTCTCCGGCTCTCTTCCGGTTGCAGTTTGAGTGATATATATTATGTACTATCCATTTATTGCATTCCTTTTTAATACATTTGCTTAAATTGGGCATTCATTCTGGGTAGCCTCAAGGGGCTTACCTAATGGGTGTATTGACATACTGTTGGAGCTAGCCCCATATGGACTGGTACGATCGTCCAACAGGCAGTCATACCCCACTTCTCTTAGCCACCTTTCTAGTACAGGCCAGGTGTCCTGTCGTGGTTATTAGGCTTGCATGTTTAAAACCGGTTATTTATACATGCATATTATATTCCAAATGCGCTGGGATAAATATTCCCTCACTTTGGGTTTATATGTATGTTTCCAAAATCTCCATTGGCCGCTGTTAAAGTGACTTCACCTCACGTCAGGTGGGATCTTATATATATATATCCTATATGGTAGAAAGGATGTGATGATTATATTTGGGGGATTATTAGTTAATGTCATTTCCGTAAACAATCATTGTCGTTGTGTATTTATTTATGCACATATGCTTTTTTGTATCAACAATGCGTTTGCATAGTCCTTTTAAACATTATCATGTTCTCCTATAAGTATTATCCTCACATCCTGAATATCAGTTGGATTATTGTTAATTCTTTTAGATATATTTTATGAGCTCTTTCTGCCTGCACTGCCTGGACACAAACATCGCCAGCTAGCTCTGCTCATTTTGTTTTAGGTGTTTTCCAGACTATGCGGCCAGGATTTGCACCCTGTACCTTTCTTACACTATATTACACTATTATAACTGTCTTTTTGTGTTTTGTCATCTTTGACTGGTTTATTTCGCGCAGTAAGCACACTTGCCCACCCCTTTTCCGTGAGACGAAATCGTTACGCAACCGTGGTGATTTCACAGGTCTTACAGGAGTTTGGGCTTTGTGGTTTTTTTAATAATACCCTCTCAAAAAAGAAAAGCACATAAGAATTTTAACTACAGATTTATTTTTATTTGGATACACTGTGGACAATGGAATTCGAAGAAATTTTACACAGGACATGTCAAGGTATCACTGTTTAATAAGACATCGGAAAAAAGTCAGTTTATGAATCACACATCGACGTTTGATGGCGCTGAGGTCAGTACGTTTGGCGTTCAGAACTGCGTGACATCGTCCCGGCATAGAACGAATTAGTCTCTGAATCTGATGTTGCTGCAATGTAGCCCACTCTGCCTGTAGTGCATGTGCTAGTTGCTGGAGTGTCTGGGCCTGTGGGGTACGCTGTCGCACCCGTCTGTCCAGGGCATCCCAAAGATGTTATATCGTGTTTTAGTCTGGTGATCTGGAGGGCCAGGGCAGCACATTGATGTTCTCATTCTGGAGGAAGGCCCCCGTGACACGTGCCGTATGAGGTCTGGCGTTATCCTGCTGGAATAGCTCCCTCTGGCGGATGATAATGGGAAGGTGTGGACGAAGGACTTGATCGCAGTAGCGTTGCGCTGTCATGTTGCCTTGGATCAACACCAACTCACTTCTTCCAGTGTAGGATATGGCTCCCCACATCATCACGCTGCCCCTGCCGAATCTGTCATGACGTTTTCTGTACACCCGCATTCTTCCATCTCATCGTTCCAACAGAAATCTCGAC